ATGTGTGGATTGTTTGCAAGAAGAGGGGAGGAATTTGTAGGCTTACTGAGAGTGTGTGCGTCGTTGCTAGCAATAAAAGGGGGTGGTAGGCCTACACGACTTTTACTTCAAGCCAAATTGTTGCTTATTCCAATAAAGTTTTTTTTTCTCTGCTGGGTAGATTACGCTCTGGAAGGTTCTACATTTTCACTGAGCAAATGTGATTTTAGCCGCATGTTTCACACTGAGAGGTCATGACACATATCGATTCACTGTAGTTATTGTTTCTGATCGGCAGGATTTGCCCTCTGATACAAGCGCATTTTCCTTGACCTCTTTTGAAGCGTAAAGTCTTTTTATTACGGCTGAATAAAGTTTCCAGTTTTCTGCAAACTGCCCTCTAGAACTGAATAACTAAGGATTTTCTTTAGTCCGTGAATGTAATGTTTTTCTGCAACACTGTATCACGCTGGGCCCAGCACGTTAGTAGCTGTTAGTTTTCTCTGCAGACTGTTATATTATCACGGATAGTGATTTGCAGATCCCAAATTATAAGAATGAAGTGCAGCTTAAACTGAAGCTACATCAACTTACTATGGAGAATTGAATTGTGACTCAGTAAAGTCCAGCTTGGTGTTTTTTTAAAGATAGTGTGAGTCTTTTGACTGGAGCGCGTAGTTCCTCCCTTGGTAATAGCTGTGAATAAGCTTAACAGTCTTTAAACTGTTTTGTTATTGCCACTTTGCGATCAGTGCTTAAATTTTCACGAAATGCTTTCCAAAAAAACACACCTCTAGCTTGAAGCAGAAAAGGATCGAAATACACACTCCGTAATTGGTTACGTTCAGAGGCCAATAGGAAAACAAGAATTTCGATCCGCCACGTGGGTATTTATGGTAAAGTTCAAAGCTCAATAGACAGAACGGCTGTACCGTTCTCGCCACGACAAAGTACAACTAAAGTTGCGCTTGTAAAAGCAACTAAGCACAAACCCAACCCGGCAACTGATGAGGTTCGTGTGGAGAACCGAAACCATGGTCTTGCCTGATCACAAAGTGGTCAGGTTACTTCTTCTTTGTTTATAAACTATGGACTGGAAATGTCTGTGACTGATACATCACAGAAAGAAGTAGTCTACTGGACAAACTTGAAGAGGGTGATTCTGTTATGGCTGACAAGAGGTTCAACATCAGAGATCTGCTTACAAGAAAGAAAGTTGCACTTAATATCCCACCACTTTGCAAAGGTACCTTTCCAATAAAGGGGGCTAACGGGGTAGGGGTGGAAGAGGGTATGCTAAGATCAAAGAGAAAGTCTCCCTGGACAAAGTAAAAAAAACAGATATAACAGCATCCATGACTTGTTGCTCGTAAAAAGGATCTTTCTACCTAAACAGAAGAAGTTTCTTTGGAATATTTTTTTATACTATAGGGTTAAGTTGAACTGTTCAAAGATAAAGATAGTCTCTACTAACTTCCAAACATGTCTACATAGCAAGGGTGGATCCAGAAAATTCAGAAAAAGCTGGTGTGGGGCAGTGGTTTGCCACTTCTACCCATCCAATGATTCAGTATAGGTTTTGTTTGGAAAAAAGGTTTCCAAAAAAGCAAGTAATTTACTATCAGTACCTTTTGAATTGGCATTTACTTCATTCAAAATCCTTTTTTCCCCTCTTACACAGGAAAGCAACTTTCTAAAAGGCAGTAAAATCTACCCGTACCATTGCAAGTGTTCGGATCCACGGGAGGGAACTTCCTTCTTCAAATGCTACCCATTGCGGACAATATTCTAAGTGTTTGTGCTGCTCTGTGGAATTTGCTACCACCACTGGCCAAATGACTGACGCATTTGTCCAGAGAGCAGAAAAGTACACCAAGTTATTGTGGCGTGGACGTGATTGCAACGTAGTGTATGTAAATGGTAAATGAAACATGTATTAAAAGTATCCAGAGACAGATCAATAAAATTATGTGTTATCTAATCCAGCACAGACAAAAACACTATTTAAGCACCTTCACTTTTACAATCAGCATCTAACGGCAGTCACTCTATAATGACTTAAGTATGTCATGATGGAATAGTTCCTGAACTATATACTCCACAAACAAGTTTCTCAGCTTTTGGATAATTTCATTCCACAAATCACTATCAAACTTAACGTTTACAATCAATATTCCTTTGAGGGTATAAATAACTAGATCACAGCGATGAATCCCTGTTATCCTCATCAGTCCCTGGATTTGGTAGTTCCATTTGTTTTCTTTTTTAATTTCATACTTGCCATTCACAAGCAGGAGGCTCTCCACAGCTGCAACATGTGGAGGGAGATTTCTTTTTGCATACATGCTTTTAACTTGAATTAACTTCTTTTGGCAGCAAGTGCAAATCCTTATACCATCAGGACTGGTTCCCACGAAGGGCCATAATGTGTTTACAATGAGTCCACTTTTTTCTATTGACAACGTCTCAAGATTTTTGTTCTGTTTTTTATGTAAAGACCAAGTGCTCGCTTATCTTTTTCATGCCCCCATGTCAACTGTCGTGGCATGGCATCTTCAGCAATTGGACAGTAATTCATGAGATGCTTAATAGTATTTCTTCTGTCTGTGCTCTCTCTAAGGTGGCACACAGTGTAAAATGAGGAAGCTGTAATTCTTCCTGCTATTTGATCAAATCAAAATTGAGACTGGGATTGATAGACAGTTTTCTTGTTGATCATTTCTGCTTGCTCTTCATTAAATGGAATAGACTCAAGGAATTCAATTGCAAGTTATTTAGAAACTGTAGGCATCACTTTATCAGTATTAACAGAAAGAAACACTTTGGCATAATCATTCATTGAATATACAGTGGAACCCCGCCTTACGACCACCCCGTTTATAAGACCACCTCGTTATTACGACCATATTCTTTCAAACCAAACGTAACAATCATTGAGTCATTTTATTATTTTGAAGATCCCGTTAATGCGACCACCTCGTTATTACGACGAGGATTTTATGGCCCAACGGTGGTCGCCTTAACAGGGTTCCACTGTACATGTACAATTTGAACACTTTCTTCTTTACTGACATTAACATCACTGCTGATGAAAGCTCTGACTTCTTCCTCTGTTTGCCTGGGTTCTTTGGTTGAAGATAAAAAAGGCAGAGCTGAAGAGCTAGGACATGTTTCCAGCAACCCAGCTTTAAAATCTTGTTCCAGTCCAGTCACATTATAACGAATACAAATTGGATTAAAATCTCTTGGGTGAATTGCGTCTTTCAATGTCACACCATAACTACCACTCGTTTGAAGGTCCTGAATGGGCAAACTTCCCTCATTTCTCTTTCCTCTCTTTTTCCACATGCACTGTCCTGATGTACATGATTGGAGATCATTAACTCTCAAACTCATTAATAATTCATTAAGAAAATACAAAGGAAATTAATGTTTAATGAGTGTTTGGAAATCGGATGATACACTGCTTAGTATTTGCATCCTTAATTTCTCCTTCAAAAATGATTTTGTTTAAGAAGAAATATCAAACATTCGACACAATGTTTCATCACCTGATGAAACACTGCATCTCATGTTTGATATATTACGTCTCACATTTGCTTCCAGATCAAACAATGCTGCAGCTATGTGCCGGCAACCTCTATCTGCCCTGTTTAAAGGAGGACCAATATGACCAATATGTATCTCACATTGTTCACACCGATAGACTGTAAAGTAGCCAATAAGTTCAGTTACTAGGCTCACAGATCCTGAATTTGAACTACTGTTTTAATACTTAGTGCTGAAGTCATAAATGATCCAGAAGGTTTGAGACTTAAAATAATGCATCTATTGATTTAGATCTTCAATTCAGGAGGCATCTACCTTTTACTCATGTTACAACTGCTACCAGGGAAATATAAACCTTCGAATCTGAATAAAACAAAACCTGTCACAGAGAAAAACAACTGAAAAGACCAAAAGTTTTGATTCTCAAACGTATTTTTATGGAATATCAAGCACATAGACAGGCTTCAGAAATCAAAAGAAGAGAATACATACCCTCCTTTGCATAAGCAGTAGGCTGAATTGACACTTCCATCCTTCTTTAAAATGAAAAACCTTCCGTATTTTGCTGAACCATCATCAGTCTTGGATTTTTCAGTTGGCTTTACAGCAAACGTAAAATAACTGTAATTACTATTGTGTTGAGGTGGGTGATACCAAAGTTCTTCCACATGTCCATCAAAAAATAATTTGTACCCCAATAGAGATTTGTAACTTTTAAGGCTTTCGCTGTTGTATACGGGATGTTTTCCCACCAGGTAATTAAAAAGATCAGGGAATCTAAAGTCCGGTACGTTAGTAAAGTTTTTGGTCTATTGGGAAAAAACACGGTTTTCGTTATCCAACGGATTTGCGAGATCTCCCTTACCGGTTTTCAGTTGCTCTTTCATAGAAATTCTTGGATCGACTGGTGCTTCTTCTTCAGCAATTTTTGGGACTTTCATCTCTTCACTTTTCTCACAAAGTTCTACCAGTTCAACCTTACGTTTTCCTGAGCTTTGAATGCCCCTTTGTTTTAAGTATTCTTTTAACCAAGGAACCGGTTTACAGCCAAAACTGCCTGCAACAGAGTCAGCCATCTTGTGTCCTCTATGCCTCGCTTACATGCGACTACCTAGTTCTCAGGAGTGCGCGGTCAAAAATATCGAAATCGATAACAAGTAGGACGAAAATGTGGAAGAAGTTCTATATTTCATAGAGTAATTTGTACTCAAACAATGCTAAGTCGTGCATTTCGTAGGTGAGTTATAAAAACTACCGTAAGTTAAACATGTAAACAACACGTCGTAAATTGCAAAACAACCTTGATGTCTACAAGTTAAAAGTTGTGTGAATAGGTCGATAAGTGGTTTGTTTGACAAACAAGTTGTACATATTTTGTTAGAAGTCAAGTAAATGAAGCTGAAAGTCGTAGACCTAACAGGAAAGTTGTAAATGTATTGTAGGAAGTTATCTTCGACAAGGATAAGTCGTATATAAATCCACACAAGTTGTACACAAATTCACACAAGTATTTTTGTCCCCTATGGCGCGTCATATGCAGCACACGACATACGTCATCCGTAGTCTTGGGCGTGAAGAAAGCTCTTGGTTTGTTGGAGTCGTTTTCACAGAACAACCTTCCCATGGAGTTTTTATACTCTTCCTGTCCCTCTAGAGCTACTAACAGGTTTGGTGATTCTTTCAACAAAGCTTTGATCTCATGATCAGCTTTTTTCTTGGGGAAGTTCATACTTCACAGGTCGCTTCCTAGAAGGAAAACACAAGCAGGCTGATCTCTCAAAATATTGGTATACTATGGGCTACTTTTCTCATCTAGGGACACAACTGACAACAATGTAATCTTGTTGTGGTTTAACTCAAGGAAGGACTGCCTAGTTCTCAGAACAGTTTCACAAATATGAACAGGTGTTTTTTTTCCTTGCAGATACTACTAAAAAAGTAGATGTCATTCATCCATGCTTATTCTTGCATTTGCTCTGTTCAGCTAAAACAAATTCGGCTATTTTGTCACGCTCTTCGGATAGCCGTGAACTCTTTCTCCATTTTCTTGAATGCATTAATGACAAAAACAACTAGGCTGCCGCGCCCCTGCGTGGAAACGATTGTACAAATGAGGCAAAATATAGTTAACCTGAGATCAGGCTCTATTTTCGTTTCGCTCTGAAAATTACATTCCGGCGGGCAAGGCGAAACGAAAAGAGAACCTGATACAGACCTTTAACGAAATGTCTGCCGCCCACTTTTTTGATTGATTAACATTTGCCGAATCAGCCAATCAGAATTACTTCCGTTGCTTGTTTTTCTAGTATGCAAATTTTTTACGCGTGGGAAAAATTCAGACTGGCTGACTTAAAAAATAGCTTTTACCTGTTAATCAAAATGCTCCTTGTTAGCGGTCAACAACTTGCAGAGGGATTCAACTCCGCGATACACTCACTTTCCGTAAATAAAGCAAATCCTGAGAAGATATGAACAACCATTCTGAATTTCCATGGCACATATTAAGGCATATTTTCCTACCATAAGACCATAAAACAATAAAAAAGACAGCAAAATCGATCCTTCTCTCCACCGACGACGGATCATTCACGAAAACAACCACGCCAGGAATAAGCGCTTTCAACTTCCGGCGTTTCCGACAGCCAATCAGATCTTGTGGCATTGTTCTAACAGCCAATCAGCGTTACGGCCAAAATCTGGCCGTAACGAGCACAAACTTGTAATAGTTTGTATCAGGCCCAATTTCAGCGGTGGCCGTTAGAGAGAATGTATGAGAACCGCTCAAAATGGGCCTGATCTCAGGTTAAAATATAGTATGCGCTTTTGACCAAGCGTTGGGTCAAGATGGCTAAATACCTTTTTGCGTTTTTATAGACAGAGACGAAGTGGACATCAATACCTAAAATCGCAGTAAGAACGAGGCAAATACCCTTGATAGCCATCTTGACCGAAAAAGGTGGGTCAATAAATAATTTACTATATTGCCAGGGTTCTATCTAGGGTATCTGAGGGATAGAAGCCTTCCCCCAAAAAAATTCCCAGCTTCCCTCCCCNCATATTAAGGCATATTTTCCTACCATAAGACCATAAAACAATAAAAAAGACAGCAAAATCGATCCTTCTCTCCACCGACGACGGATCATTCACGAAAACAACCACGCCAGGAATAAGCGCATTCAACTTCCGGCGTTTCCGACAGCCAATCAGATCTTGTGGCATTGTTCTAACAGCCAATCAGCGTTACGGCCAAAATCTGGCCGTAACGAGCACAAACTTGTAATAGTTTGTATCAGGCCCAATTTCAGCGGTGGCCGTTAGAGAGAATGTATGAGAACCGCTCAAAATGGGCCTGATCTCAGGTTAAAATATAGTATGCGCTTTTGACCAAGCGTTGGGTCAAGATGGCTAAATACCTTTTTGCGTTTTTATAGACAGAGACGAAGTGGACATCAATACCTAAAATCGCAGTAAGAACGAGGCAAATACCCTTGATAGCCATCTTGACCGAAAAAGGTGGGTCAATAAATAATTTACTATATTGCCAGGGTTCTATCTAGGGTATCTGAGGGATAGAAGCCTTCCCCCAAAAAAATTCCCAGCTTCCCTCCCCCCCCCAAAAAAAAAAATTCGGAGCCAAGTGTAACATTGTCAGAACGTGATCACGACTAAAAAATAAAATAAAATACCACTGTAACATTTCTCAAAATTGGGTCTCAAAATGCACCAGATTGTATCTCAGCGCATATTCATTTCAAAAAATTTCCGGGGGAGCATGCCTCCGGACCCCCTAGGAAGCTCGTGGCCTTCGGCCTTTCGGGACTTCCCCCCCAAAACGATAAACCCTAGATAGAACCCTGATTACCAAAAAGAGAAATTTTTTGCGGGACCAATGCGTGAAACGCCCGAGCGGGGAAGATGGGCCCATCTTATCCGCTCAGATAGCAAATCAGAACACAGGTCTCGCAACTTGCAAATTGTCGTCTTTCACATCAAACTAAAGAAATCATGGATTCTTCCAAGATTTACTCTCATGAAGTATTGGAGCAGTTAAAGATTCTAAATATTAATACAAATTTTCACTTCGAAAGGGTTCTTCGTTTTGTTATAAAATACGCTTGAATTGCTAAGCCTTTGAGTACCGCAGCATTTACATTAATATTTAATGGCGGTCGTGAGAGCTGTGGTGTAGGTTAAATGACGGTTTTTCTATCTGAACAGTTATTGTACTAGTAAGAAAAAGTATCGAGAGATGACCCTAACGCATCAGTGACAGATGTTTCCGTTGGTTTACGGCCGCCATGTTGGTGTCCATCGGAATGGGCGTCAAAAATTAAATCGAAATTAAAATGTCTAAATACAAAGCTCTATATTTAAAATTTGAGTAAATGACTTATTCGAATATCTCGCATATGGAAAGTTGCACTGACCTGAATCTTGGAGAGGACTTTTGCATATTAACCTCCTTTCATTCCCCAGATTCTGGACTTTGATTTTTTATTCAGTTTTGATGGCGTGAACAGTAAAACTGGATCAGCAACTGCAGCAATATGTTCAGTGTTTGTGGCCTGCATCGCAGACGCTCTAAACCGCCTGAATTACGTAGCTTGTATTGCTGGTTTTCAGTGTCACGCCATTCAAAATAGATGAAACTGATAAAAATCAAAACCGTTCAATAGATTAAGTCCAGAATCTGGGAAATGAAAGACCGTGAATATGCAAAGACTCTCGCCAAGATTCGGGTCAGAGGAATATTTCGTATACAAGATATCCAAAGAAATGTTTCACCCAAATTTATCGAGATTTAGCTAGATTTGTATGAAGTCGCCTTGCTGGTGCCCATCCGTATGGGCACCAACATTGCGGACGGAAACCAACAGAAACATCTGTTACCGAGTTTTGCTACAAAAGCGTGAGCTTATTCCTTGAGGAACTTATGAACATTAAAGTAATACTTTTTCCGTGTTTAGATAGCAAAATTCACCGAAATAAGTCACTTTTTTTAACCTACAGAACAGCTCTCCCGGCCTTCATGTAAATGCCGCGTCACGCAAAACCTTTAGATGATGCGTGGGCCGTACCATAACTTTCTTATGTGTTTATTTATCATTATGTGGTGTGGTTTCTTCATTAATGTCTTGTGGTTACTTCATTATGTCTCGTGGTTTCTTCATTGTGTCTTGTGGTTACTTCATTATGTCTTGAGGTTACTTCATTATGTCTCGTGGTTACTTCATTATGTCTTGTAGTTACTTCATTATGTCTTCTGGTTACTTCATTATGTCTGTAGTTACTTCATTATGTCTCGTGGTTACTTCATTATGTCTTGTAGTTACTTCATTATGTCTTGTGGTTACTTCATTATGTCTTGTAGTTACTTCATTATGTCTCGTGGTTACTACATTATGTCTTGTAGTTACTTCATTATGTCTCGTCGTTACTTCATTATGTCTTGTAGTTACTTCATTATGTCTTGTGGTTACTTCATTATGTCTTGTGGTTACTTCATTATGCCTTGTGGTTACTTCATTATGTCTTGTAGTTACTGGATCACTCACCGTTTCTGGGAACCGAGTCATCTTTCTACCGACGCTCAAAAAAAACTAAATAGGCACTCGAATTTTCAAGCGTTACTTCAACACTCGACGAGGACGACTCGATTTTCACTCCATGACTCGACGAGGACTAGACGACTCTGCGAGGATGACTCGGTGAGACACGGTTGACTCGACGAGGACGACTCAACGAGGCGATGACTCGGTGAAGTTGACTCGACGAGGACCACTCAACGAGACGATGACTCGACGAGGACGACTCGACCAGGCAAGATGTGTCGACGAAGACT